GCGAGTTATTACAGTCGGAAGGACGCGCCCAGGGACGGAATTGGTGCGCCTAGACTGCTGGGTGTACACAGTCTGTTTACACGCTCCCCTCACAGGGCATTCGACACGCAGTTTCCGTCGGGAGACACGTGCTTTTTTTTGCAGTGTGTAATTCCTATTACGACAATCTATAATTAAACAATAACTTTAGTCCTCAGCCCAGTCAAACTGCCCTAAATTCACAACGGCTTATTTACGGTCACAGTTCGTCTAACCTATTTCAGTCTCCCTTTTTTCTGTCGATAGTGCTATCGTGCCTATAATACTAGTCAGTGAACCGCTGCGGGTTGTCCCGCAACGCGATCAGTGAACGCCCCACCACCACTGTTAACGGACTAATGTCTTCTGCAGTATATAGTCACCCCAAATAAGTAAAACTTTCGAATTTTAGACGGTCCTTAATTTAGTCCGAAAGGCAAGCTGTTCAGAACGTAAAGACCAAATGAAGAACTCTTTTACACTGCACAGTACTCAAAAAGAGTAGGTGGGTGAATCAGATTATAAAAATAAATACTGGAAATCATGCATCCCGAAAAATATAATTCGAAGAAAAAGATGTTCTTTGGGATATAAAGGTAAATTTAATCAGTTAACTTGTTCTTTGCACGTTTCTCATTACTAAGGAGGTTTGGTAGATTTGCTTAATTTAAGTCCACTTAAATTAAGCAAATTTGCCAAACTTCCTTAATAATTAGTCAGCCTAGTAGTCATTCTGGTGGATTCTAGACGATTACTCAGGAAATCCTGCTTGAGCAATCAGCTTGCTGTTCCGTATTGGTAGATTCCACAAGAGCGGCATAGTTGGGCGGCTAAAACCTATCCAAGTGTGATTAAATTCACGGCGCAAGGCAGGCGTTTGTAGCTCAACTGCTAGAGGATTGGCTTCGCGTTAAGGCCCTCCCTACTATGCGGGTTCAAATCCCGCCGAATGCTGCGAGTTTTTTACAATTGGGTCAACTTAAAAATCATGTGTTAGTCTGAAGACGAGCTGGGGAATCAGTCTCGAAAATTCACTAATTAAATTTACCTTTATAGCCCAAAGAACATTTTTTCTTCAAAATAAATATTCCCTATGTCGTTGGGTACGCTTAGGCATGCTGATCATCGTTTGCCTTCTTCAAGCAAAACAGGAAAGCGCCAGTATCATCAGAAGACTGGCAACTAGAAAAAAACAACAGGCATAAAATAACGGCGGATTTCGAATTTCAGTATTACGAAACACCATCTTAATGCATGGTTGATGCTCGTTCCTACTGAAGTACATCGTTTTGTGATGAAATACAGTAACAATACTTGCGGTAAAGGTCGTATTTTTTCTAACACTGAAAAGCAGTATTGTAACCCTGTGTCGAAAAATAAAACAGAACAGGTGCGCTTCTTCTACGCTTGAGGCCCAACGCAGTAGAAGGATTTGTCGACATGTGTTAAGAAGCAGCACAAAATGGATACTTTATAGTAAATTCAGGGACTAACTAAAGAACTGGCCTTTACTGTCAAATCGTTGGCTCAAACGTGAAGATGTCTTATGATGAGTTTTGTCTTCACAGAGTACACTAACTCCAAAGTGTCGGTGGATCAAATATAAGCCACTGCTGTTTACCCAGATAAAGTCTACAAACCAAAGTCAACGTTTATCAGTGTCATTTTACTCTCGGTCGCCGGGGTTTCACCTCAAATCACATTAGGACAGAAATTAAAGCGGGGGGGTGGCTTTTGGGACAGAAGATACATCTGTGAAGTGCTACCAGCTTGCCAATTTT